CCATCTGTATTGGTGATTTAACAAGAAAACAAAAAAATGAAATGATAAAATCTTCACTTTTTATTCGCAGCAACGGATATGAGAAAATCTTATTGGATTAAATTCATTCAAACGTGAGATGCGAAATCGTTCAGTAATACCTGTTTCACAAGTACAATGAAGGGATGATTCGATTTGGTGGTGGCGTCTTTTATTACGTCTGTGGTAACCTTTCTGTTCTTATCTACAACATGTGTGACAATGTAATATTAACGTGTTTAACCATTTCCCCGAGTATCATGTGTTGTCAATAACTCTTATCCGTTTGTTTGTCAACTTACATAACTTAATAATTCTATAACAGTCTTACTCACATTTAAAAATTGCTATTTAAAGAATTAAAGACTATTTGCTAACCAAATATTTTTATTTTATTTTAACATTTTATAGAGCAATTCAAGATTTATTGCTTGCGTAATTTTATATGGTTGGAATTTAATTGAATTATATTTCAAACGTGTTTTTGTATCTATAATATGAGTTCAACTAAGTCAATGTTTATATTAATTTTTCTAATATTCGTCGCAGACTTGTCGAACATTTCCACAATTTTCTTTTACTTGTATTATGACCTTATAAGCTATAATAGGGTACAAGTCCCATGAAATTAATCGTTATTAGTCATTATAAATGTTTTAAACAACTTGAACCAATATGTTTTACGAAGTGTTAGATTTGCCCTAACACATCATACTGAATTTAAGCTGCTTTTCATTATATGTTCCTACTTGAAGTACCCGTACAAAAAATGCATTCTATAAGAAACACTTGTAAACGAATTTGTCATGCGTGTTGCACAACAAATTCATGGAAACTATTAACGATTTAAAAATTGATATATTTATTTCACCAAGTTTTGATTGAGTTAAAACTTATAATTCAATATTCAATAACTCTAAGCTAAAATATTTTTCTTATTTTATATTTTTAAGAACTACTACTGACTAACTTTAACAAACGATTGTTTTAACTTATCTTTATGATTGGGCTTAGTCCGTTGAAAAATTTCAATAATTAAATCAATAAACTTTAACCTTAATGAATCTACTTTATATTATATAGTTTTTAATATTGTAAAAAATTTTTTAATGTAGTTCTTTTTAACAAATATTTCATTTTAATTTCGAATATTTTCTTTTCAGAACTTTATATATATTTAAAAAGACAATAAATTTATATATTATATAAGGTTTATTACAGTGCTTATTAGATAAATATTATGTGACAAGACATTTGAAACAAAAAAAAATTAAATACAAATAATAAAACAATGATCATCGCAATATGAACAATTTAACGTCATCATTGGTTTTTTTTTCATTTATTTCTTTTATCCATGGTTTGATTTTTCTCATTCATCACCTTTAGTTGCCCAATTCTTCTGTCTATAGCTAGTCTGTCAATTTGGATTCTGTTACACCTTTTTAAAATATGTTCATATACAGAGTGTTCAGTAAGTAAGGAAACAAGTCAATTGTTACAACATGACAGTTTTCATATAGTCTATAATAGTAGTTTACACGCAAACATATATTTCTGATAAGCTTCCAATGGCTTGAAAATCTCCTTTTCTCGTTGTTATCACTTTTTCATAGAGTTAAAATTCAAATTGTGTTTTAAACTTGATAATTATATAAATAATTCAATTATACAAAAAAAAAAAAAATACCATACAAATTGTTTCAGAAAATTTATGAGTATTACTAATTTCTGACTATAATATTGAATTTTTATGTTGCATTGTAACATTAAATTTTAATTTATTAAATATATGCAACAAAAATATTTATAAATTTAAAAATTCTGATAATTTAGAGAAAAAACTACTATTGAAAAAAAAAGCATTTAAACTTACAGAATGTTTAGGTTTGGTATAGCTTTTCAATATTTTTTTTATGGAAGCAACTTTATTTGAAAATTTTTTGTCTTTGAGGCTATTGTACTTATAAAAATAAATTTTAATATAAGCTATTAAATATCCTGGAGACATTCAATATATTACACATAGTATGCCTCATTGAATTATTTTCCTTCTTTAAACATATATATATATATCAAGGTCTAGTATGGGTTAAAATGAACACTATGATGCCCATTATCAAAAGTATATAACGACCCTAATCCATCTTCTAGGCGATGTGAAAACTTCTTAACCACATACTATATAGTATTGCCATAGAGCTATTAAACTGTCACTTATTCACCATATCTCACACTTCCGCTCTCATTTAATTGTTCAATAACATTGTTTTCCTTCCAAATCACATTTTATTTTTGATCAAAAACCATCGACCATAATTTATTTAGTTATTACGTATCGTAGTTAGTGAGGTAGAAAATAAATGAACGAATAATTAATATACTAAAGTTAATGAATAAACATTTGAGAGTGTTTTGTAAATAAATTTATTATAGCTCGAGAAGCATTTTACACACTATTATGTTTTGATGTATTTACTTGATTATATTTATTGATACAAATTGTTTATCTTGAGTGTCACCACATGAATAAATAGAAGATGAACATAATTAACCTCGAGACTAATAAAGAATACATTCATCATATTCATTAATTTAATAGTTATCAAAATTAACCTCTATTAATTATTATTAATGAAAGTTAACCAATTGTGACAACTTCAAACCTCCTTTTAGGGATAGTTTTGCTACTGCATCTGTGAGATAAATGATTATTATTGGGCGCATTTCCTACAAAGATACGAAATAGAAGATATCTTGGTAATCTAGTAAATAAAACAAGTGTAAAGTAAGTTAATGTGTTAAAAAAAGTAATTTGTCTTAAATTAAAGCCAAAACTATAACTTTAACGTAAATTTTGAATATTAGCCATAGGCGCATTTTTCTGCAACAGCGGCATTTTAAGTATAGATAATTTATCATTTCATTAAACTAAGATTAATAAGTTCAGCAATAAATGCTCAACAATAAAAGAAATCAACTATTGAATTTCTTTCAAGATAAAAAGATATAATATCTTTTAAGATATAATTGTATAATCATCAAAATTATAGTGGATATATTCGTTGATATACAGAGTGAATTATTTTTCTAGTGATAAATTTCAAATTTGAGGTATTAACGAATATTTTGCTTTTTATTTTGTGTACCAACATTTCTAAATCAATACATAATTTGAAAATTTAGTTTTTTTTTTTTATTTCATTTTATTTTATTTTTAATTCAGAATGAATAAATCAATTTAAAATGTTCTAAAGAATATAAAGAGTATTTGGAAATTATTAATGTAAGAAGACTAATAGGTTTGGACAAAGTTTAGCACGAGTTAATAATGACTTTTGTTCGTAACTTTTGCACAATAATTGATCTATTATACCATCGACACGTTATCTACTTAACCCTTTTTTTTTTCTACGGTCGACATAGTGTTGGACGTCCTGGAACTATCGTGAGATATTGCTTCAGGGCTACCAACATCGCGATAAAACTCACACCGCCGTGTTGTGACTCGACCTGAAATTAATCAAGAGCTGAGTTTATCTACTTAACCCAAATAATGAGATAATGGAGAGTTGTAGCGAGTAAATATAATACAATGAACCACCTATATACATTTAAAAGCTAACGTGCTGGATCAAGAAAATAAATCTGTTTCTTCTTTTATAAACTCTTTTACGTTCATAACTTTAGGGTTATTTCTACTGTTCTCCGGGTGAGTAAATAAAAAGCAATATCATTATTATTATAAACACTATAACATCGCACTCAGAATACCATTATACTTTTAGTTAATTCTAGAGTCAGACTTACCAGTATTATGTTAAAAATACATGCTATAATTTATGTATGAACGCGCTGTTAAAATTAAATGATAACAGTTTGCAAAGGAGTTATTGTTACAACAATTGTCATTCAACCTATGTAGATTATTTATAACATTTTTTATGACTCAACACAGTTATACCCATAATAATAATATCTCAAAATAATTTAAAATCTTGATATTCCTTACATAACAAAGGTCTAAACAAAACAAACAATTTTAATAAACAGTTATGTTATCTGATAAGTGTTCTTTAATATGTTTCATTGAAGACAAAAAGATATGCTTTTTCATATACCTTAATTTTTACTTCCGATAATAAAAAATACTGTTTCACTAAATTTATGCTATCGGATTTTAGTTAGTCAATTTTTTAAATACTGTCATGAGACTTTATACCTGGTATATAATTTTATTTTAATTTGGTTTAAATATAAGGAAAATTCGTAAGTTATAAATTATAGACGTCATTTATTAAAATTGTGCAGCCTGCAAATTATACAAAAATCCTGAAAATCTTAACCGTCTAAAACATCTGGTCTACCGTATTTTAATTCGGTGTGGCTGGAATAAATACAGTAACTTTATATATTAAGTTGCAGAAAATATAAATAAAAAATAGGCGCTTAACTTTTACACAGAAATACCTTAATGTCAAATAATAAATACGATTTTAGTTTAAAAGTTTTAAACTAAAAAGATATTTTAGTGGGATTTTAGAATAATTTGGGGATTTAATAGTAATATTTTGGTGTTTCAATAACCAGCTGCTAACATTAACCAATTTTATTATGGTTACTTAGACAATAATTTTGCATAATAAATATCATTGATAATAAGTCATATATAGACTTTATATTTTTAGAAAACCACTGAAGTACAATATAGGTTTATTACTTAGGCTAACTTGTTTTTATGAATTTCGATTTATTAAGTTAAAAACATTTGTGTATTTTTCAACTATAAATATGGTAACATACAGTATTTTTATATAATGTCACAAAAATGTTACATTTTTTATTCTCTCTAGATCAAAATTTTGCATACAAAAGAGAACGTTGAACAAAACTCCGAAAAAAAATTCTTAAAAAATTTATAGTAAAAATATAAATCAATTAATTATATATATTTTTCTAATTAATAAAATTAATTTTTTCAGAAAAAAAACAAAGTGAAGAAGATAATGATGACACTGTGATACATTTTTAAAACTATGTGAGTATTAAAAATATATGAAATGAGTTAAAAATGTTTATAAATCTCCTAGAAAAAATCTAATGATGCAAATAAAATAAATTATAACTTTAATAGATTTTAATAATTAATCATTTAATTATGTTTAACGTGTTCTCTATAAGCTTTTGCTTATGCTAGAGAACGATAGGTTTTTATTTGGCAAATTAAAAACTAATTATACGTCTTATCCGTTTGATTTAGTTGTTAAAGATGTGGGCAAGAACTGCCTATTAGTCAGACGTGTAAGTCCATTATATCCGTTAGTAAATTATTTGAAATATGTCAGTGTCTAACTAATAAAATATTCAAATGAGAAAAAGCGTTTATTTTTAATTTATAAACGAAATAAAATTCCCAGTATAGTCAGAATCGAACATAGTAAATTTCAGTATAAATGAAACTTTTACTATGGTATCACTAGAATAAAAATATCCAGTGCGATTATTTATTAACAGGGCTCGAGGCTTTATGCATTTATATATTTGTATAGACCACTTCTGAGGCACATATCTCTATAAAAATTATCTTAAGTGTATATAGTACTATAGGAATATTACCTGATAGGGACAGCACTTTTTGATTTACAAAAAAATTTAATTGACAAGGTAAATGGCAACATTTTAGACTCTAAAATGTTGTTTACAAAAATTTTGTAAAGATCCGTCTAGTTTTAAAAAAGGTATTTTAATGTAAATTCAAAACTTAAAATATTAATATCGAATATTTTACAACAATTGAAAAATTGTTAGATAATTTCCTTTTATTTTAGCAATCGAAGAAAAATGTCCATACTGTCAACTTCAGTGTCACAATTATGACACTGATTGCTCTAAGTAGGCATAATTTGTGATCTTTTGACATATTATTGAGCAAGTAGGTCATGTAGGAACAGAATATTCTTATGAAAAAAGACGACATTAAAAAATTGATACATTTTCAGCTACATATCGAAGCTAAAAGTAATTACACGTAGTTTTTTTAAATCTTCACAAGTTTACAAGTATCAAGTTATTGAAAACCAAACTAAAGCCACCGAATATATTGTTGGATTATATATAATTTAAATAACATATATTTATTGCACAAATTGAAGAAAAAAAAAAAGAAATCACTAAAAAATATGAAAACTCAAGTTTTTTTGCTTAAATATTAATATCTTTAGACACATCCAAGGTGTACTTTTTTATTCTTTTATTGATACTATGAACTTGCTTTTATGTATATTTTTATTTTGATACGGTAAAGTTATTTCTTTATATCTTTAACATGCTATAATCATCACTTTTACTTTAGTACAAACATAAAATAACATAGAAATTGCGCTTACGTATTTCTGGAAGTTGTGACTACACAAATTACATTTTTACTTTGTCACTAGATTTTCTTGTTTCTATTTTTAACTCGTTCGCCTTTAGATATTGACAGTGTCTAACGTTACAATAATATGACACCTTTTATCCATTTTTTAGGTGTTCTTTTATGAATTACAGTCATGTAGTTTAACCTGCTGATTGTAAAAGTTCTCAGAATAAATTCTACATTATTTTTTAGTTAAGAATAATATTTTGTAAATCTGTAAAATTTTAACAAACCCTATTAATTACCTATATAATGAATAAGTTTACCTTTTGTGATGATCAACTCCTCCACAAACTTGCAGAATAAAAACTCATATCTATCAAACGTTCGGTTACTACTATTCAATTTAAACATCTTTATGCTTTTGTTCAATTTTATTTTCTTTCGATTGATTCCGAAACGCACGAAAGCTTGAAATACATTTTACTCGTTTTACCTAAAATTTGAATGCAAAAAGGATGAAAGAGCTAACGTTCAAATACGTAGGCGTAGAACTGTTAATGGTCATACTTTTTGACTGTAGTTTACTTTTCGTAAACAGGCGTTGTGCTTTAAGCCAAGTATTTAAGGCTAAATTATTTCTTAGCTTTTTATTTATCTAAATTCAAACAATGTTTATAATATAAAGTAAACAACTAACAAACTCTACCTAATAATTATTTTAGGCCTATGTATAAAGAAAATAATATTTAACTTTAACAAGGAAAAGCTATAGAAGTAATGTTTTTTATGCAACACCTGTAATAATACAGTTTTTCTCATAAACATAAAATTCATGTTAGATAAATGGTATAACTTTATAAGACAAAAGAATTTTTTTTGTTTTTGTTTGCTTTATGATTTTTTTTTAACATATCAATAAAGGAGAACACTTTAACCTTAGTAAGTTAAAAATATCGTCTGTGAATTCAAATTGTGTAGCACTAAAACGTCAACAATACCATTTCGAGAAGATTGAATTATTATCCACAGTGTAAATATTAGTTTTAATAAATTAAATTAAAAATTATGCGACTAAAAATATATAGCGTAAAACAATAAAAATATTTTATGCATAAGAAATTATTGTCAAAATTTCAATGTAATTTTTCTTATTTCTCTTATTATGTTTCACTATTGTATCTGAGCTTATCAAAGTTCCTACATATTTTTAAAATATGTAAACTGTTTATTTAAAGTACCTGTTTTATTTCATTTATCTCATTTCAACAAATTATGTTCATATCAGTTGTGTTTTTTTTGTGAATAATGGATATCAAAAAAATTATGTGCGGTTAAAACATTTATGAGGTAATTTTTTTTATTTAAAAGAAAGTTTTATTTGAAGTACTATTATTCTAAAAGTGTTTTGTGATCTTAATTTAAATATTTTACCAATTACAAAAATTACACGATATTTACCATAAAAAGTCTTTGTATTAAATACTTTCGTATAGTTTTATTTTACACAACACTATGTTATGAATGCTTAGTAATTTTCTTTGATTTTCCAATTATCTATGATAGTTAATACACTTGAGTGATTTTATATTCCATAAAGACGAAGACTATCGTATTAAGAATCTTTATACTCATAAGATTCTTGATAAGACATCACAAAGGTTTTGTTGTCGCTATTGTTGAGCAAAAAAAAAGTGTTTACTAGTAGCATAAAAACCTCTTTGACTATAATTTTATCAGTATTTTTTTTTTCTTAAATGTATAAAAGTGGTAAGACTTTTATCATTTGTAATACCATGTTTTGTAGGATAACTTATTATTGTCTAAAAATAAATAAAAAACCGTGACTATCATTTAATGTTCACGATAAATTATTTTCCAAAAGTTTTAGATAAAAGATAATATATTTATTTATTTATTTCATCATAATGGATGATTACGCCTGTGAGGCAATTAGTACAGATAATAACATAGAAAAAAAACAAATACAATATAAAAATAGTACATAGTGAAATTAACTTAATAATTAAATGATTATAAAAATTCAATAATACTAAATACGTTACAAACAAGTTAGCTAAAAAAGTGTATGTAATTATGGTATTATGAATTAAACGTTTTACAACAAATAGACCATAATGATGTTGAAGAATCATGATAAAAATCAAAATTATTTATTTTATTACATAAATTCAACATTCGATTTACCGGAGCGTTTCTACTATAGTTTTGTGTATGAATAGATATATAAAACATTGGATAGGAACGGAGAGATACTTGAGGAACGTTCATCGGTTTTAAGTTTAAAATTTCGGGACAATTGATTTTATTATTTAGTAGATTATAAATCCATAAAACATCTAAACAATTTCTTCTACACAAAAGAGAATGCATTTTTAGATTTTCAAGTAACTTTTTATGATTAATTTCATTATTTTTAATTTTAGAAGAGATTACGTTTAAAAAACGATGTTGAATGGACTCAATCTTATTTATATCACTCTGCACATAAGGTGACCATATAATAGACCCATATTCTAAAATAGACCGTACTAGTGAAATATATAAGGTTTTCCAACATGTTATATTTTGAAATTCATTACAATTACGTTTTAAAAATCCTAGTATCTTAGAAGCTTTATTACAAATATATGTAATATGTTTTAAGAATGTTAAGTCGCTAGATAAGAAAACACCTAAGTCTTTCACATGGTTAACTACACTAAGATTGCAACCATCAATTACATATTGGTTATGAATAAAAGCTATAGTATACACAAAAATCCAAAAATAAAAAATTCATAATAGAAAATAGTATATTTTGGACTTTAGTGTTCATTTAGGTCATTAAATATTGTCTAAGAAGTAATACACAAGATAATTCCCTAACTTTGCCTCACAAAATATTTTCTAAAATATTAGAGCTAATTATAGTATTATTTTTTTAACAGTTATGGTTTTTTGTAGAGATGCTTCAGACGAAATTCCATTTGCTGTTACCATATCTTATACTTTAAACTCGTATAAACTTTTGATTTTTAAAACGCAATCTCAATGTTTTTATGTATTATAATAGTAGTGGAAGAACGTAGTAATTTTATTTACTTTTTGTAATGTATNATTCCATTTGCTGTTACCATATCTTATACTTTAAACTCGTATAAACTTTTGATTTTTAAAACGCAATCTCAATGTTTTTATGTCTTATAATAGTAGTGGAAGAACGTAGTAATTTTATTTACTTTTTGTAATGTATTTTTTTCTTTATTTACACGGGTTTACGGTTTGTTTGGTCTAGACTATTTCGTCTTTATAATAAAATCAATAACGTTCTTATGAAAATTAAAAACACTTGCGAATGTCATTATAGAATAAAATTTCCTTTATTCTTAAGAGTTGTGTTAGGTCTTTCGCAAATACATCACTTAATACACGTAAAAGAATTGTGACTATATTAGTGGTACTCATAAAGTAATGGTATTTGATTTAAATTCGTAAATTAAATTTTATCAAAAAATAAACTATCTATGTATTAAAGTATAACGTATGTATTTTACGAGTCACTAGAACTTACAGCATTGATGTATTTTTATCTGTATTTGCAATAATAGAATTTTGTTGTTCAGTAGGGTTCTAAGGGGTTTCGTCTTGGGGAGAGATATATAAGATATTTTTTTTCTACCCCCTCCAAAACAAATCTTACTATATATTTATTTTCATCGTAGGGGGTTCTATAACTTATCCCCCCTTTTGCGAGAATGACCATGGTACTGTTATTAGTTAAATTATTAATTTAATGTGCTTTTAAATATAGTGTTATTACTACAGTATTATTTTTCACTTAATTAAAATGAACTAGCTAGAATTTTTAAGAATTTTGGTATTGCTTTAGTAATATTTAAAAGTAATAATTTAAGAGATTTATTAGGTAACCGTAAAGGTACAGTAGGAGAAGGGGGAATCGGGTATTTTTAAAATACAATGTAAAAATTGTAATAAATGTTACGTAGGACAAAAAAAATATATATATATAATGTTAAAGAACACTTAAGAAACATTAAAAATCAAGAAGTTGATAAATTTCCGGTGGCTGAACATTATTTGACACATAATCCATTAAAACCATAAAATTAATTAAAAACTTAAACAATTACAAAGAAATTAATATAAGGGAGACAATAGAAATGTTTAAAAGTAAGAACAATTTAATTAATTGAGATCTTGGCCAACTGAAAAATTCATTATTAAACTTATGTAAACTGATAAAATGTGATAATTGTGATAACGTCACTAAGGGTATATAAGGTGGTTTTTTTTCCGGTCGGGAGTCAGTATGTGTTTTGATAATGGTAACATTGTTCCCGACTTATGTGTCCACGTTCTTTTGTGCCTTTTTGAGTTAAACATTTTTTAGTTTTTTATTAATATTATTTTAAATATAGTTTTAATTTTAAATATTTAATTTGAATTTAACTGTTGAAAATAAATAAATAGTAGTACGTTTTTTTCAAAATCTTATGACTGGGTTTTAAACAATCATATAAATCATAAGTACAAAACCCTGTCAAAATTTAATTGAGTAGGTGACATAATAATGATGTTATTATTCGGATAGAACTTAATTAATATTGTTTCTATTTTGTATGCTTTGTATAAAATACGCTTCAACTGACAATACACCTATTGTGCATATACATATAATTATTATTTTGAAGATAATGTAATACATTATACGAAAACGTCGAGCCAAAACGATTAATCATTTTGTTGATGTGTATATCATACAGTCCATCATTATTCTCGCCACATATAAATTTTTAAAAATCCAACAATATAACAAGTTTTTTAAAAATTAAATCTATAGTAAAACAATTTGTAAACTAAAAGTAATTACTAACAGCAATTAGTTTTACTTTTAATATTTAAAACAATTAATTAAATAGATCTGTTTCAGTTATAGACTATTTTAATGAGAGTTACTCGTAGCAACTATATTATATCTTATTTTAAATAACATTTTGAACTATGCAATTTGATATTAACTCTTTTTAAAAAGATTGGTAGATATAATTTTTAATCTATGTATAACGAATTGAAAAATTATATTTATTTATTTATATGACTTATTATAAAACAAATACCTAGCTATAAACAAAAAAATCCATAAACAACATTTATTTCATTATAGAAAATATTTGAATATAAATTGATTAATTAGTTTCAGCTTTTATATAGATAACATTCTGACATATATTTTTATTTTACTTGAACCATCTGGGTGTTCCATAAAATCAGTAGTTTTGGTTTGATGACGTTTCAAAGGAATTTATTATTATTTTTTAACTGCAATTTTCTTCTTAGTTTATAGCTCACCTTCAAGTTTATTCAACCGACCGTACTTTATGGGATTTCATTTTATTTGCCTATTGATTACTTTAATAAAAATACAACTTGATAATAAATGGAAAGTGTTTGAGTAGTGACTCCAAAATACTAAATGTCAACTAGAATTTTACTAAGAAAGTTTTAAATTTTTTATATAAAATTTAATTAAATTAACTAAAAAATTCTATAGTACGAATTCAAACAACATTGTTATTCTATATATAATTTAATTTGTTTCAATTGAGTTTTCATACAAAAACTATTTGAAAATTCTGGAAATTTTTTCTACAACAATAACATGACTTGAGCTTTTATAACGTTTTCCTGTTTTAAAGAATGTTTTTCGTACCATATAGCTTTGAGCTATTTACAATTCTTACATTTAAAAAGTTTGTGCACTAAATATTATACTTTCTCCCTTTTATTTTCTTGGTGGTTTTTGATTTAGATCATAAAATAAATGAAAACATTAGAAAAATAGAATAGGCTTATTTTCAGCTAATATTCATCATTCATTTTAACTCACTTTTTTTTTTATTATTCCTTGCTATTCAAATACCAATTAATTAACGCCGTATACTAATAAATTAATACATGCAATGCTTATTGTCAACTTTGTAATGTTACGTATACACTAACTCATTTAATAACATAATTTATCTAATTTTATATCAATAGCTTTAAATTTAAAAGGAAAATTTGTAATTTTTGTATGCAATTTGATATCATGTAACAACGAACTAAAACTCTTTTCATTTTAAATTTAACTAAAACTTTTGTATTGTAAAACTTGTATTATTTATAACTTAACTCTTTGAATAGCCAAACTATTATTATCGAGACTTATGAGTTATTCATAGATGTTTCTTGTCACAGAGTGTAGTACGTGATTGAAAGTTTTCCCTGAGAGAAAATAAACAGAAACTTCTCTCGGTAAATCATAACTATACATAGATTCTTGAATTTATTAAACTATTTGTAAATATCAAGTTAATCGTAAGAAAAGTAATGTTTAAAGGTATATTTTACGGGCAACTTTAAAAGTTAATTAGGAATCTGTAATTATTTCAGCTTCGATTTGAAGCTGAGAATCGTGTATATTCCAATATAACTAAACAGTATGAGTTTGTTAACTATTTCTCTTAAATGTTTATTTAAATTTCTTTGTTTGAAAAGGATTATGTTCTTCTAAGAATATAATGTATAAATATCCCATGTTATAATAGTGACGAGTATATTACGACATTATTCATCCGAGTAAAAAGTAAAAATTTTGAAGATAACTTTACCATTCAAACTAGTTTTATTAAAAACAAAATAATTAAAAAATTTAACATTCCTTTTTAAAAATAAGTCAATTGAATAAAATTATGACACATAAACTTTAAATCGATAACGAATTTTAATTGAAAAATCAAAATATTGTGTTAATATTATTGTTAATAATATTGTTGTTTTAAAGTAATTTGTTTTATATAAAATTAGAATTTATATCATAATATTAAACCTGATAACTTGTATTTACTGAAAATTGATTTTTTTTATACGAATTTGAAAAAATAAAATGTATTTATTTGTTATTATGTTGTTTATTTTGAAGGTTAATAAAATAAAACCTCATATACTCACTATAATTTTGATGTGAAAGAATACATCATGTTTAAGTAATAACGATTTTTCTAATCTTATAAGACAATAATATATCTTCCTTGTACTTAAAGATTAAATAGTATCCTATTTTGTATCATTCGGATCTTATGTTTTATCAAATAATAGTCGAAAATGTCAAAAGAAAGAAAATAAAACAAATTGCAATATAAAATTGCGCACAAATAAAATAGAAATTTAATTTAATCCGGAATTATATATAATTATTTTTGTAAAATGTATGTAGATTTTGAACCTAAAGTAACTTATAAAAATTGTTATATTATTTGTATAATTTACAAATAGTATTCATACATAACTTAAAAATAACTCAAATTTAGTCATTTAAAATAATTCTTATAAAAATATAATAGTTTATAAAAGTTTATAAATACTTTTTCGTAATGTTTGTAAGTGTATATATTTTTTTATAGATAAATAATTCGCAAAATGTATAAATGTATTTATTATGTTTAATTCGTAGACAAAAGAAGTTTATCAATTCGTATGTCAATATGTCTATATTATCTCTTTTATTAACATTTTTAAGATGGGTAAATACAGATATGTGCTGTCACATGATACAAGCATTTTGTGTGAATCGTATGTGTGATAAAATCAAAAATATTTCTGTGTATATGTTCATTGTACTCTATTTTTGCGATTCAGATCTACGTTTATAATTATGATTCAATTATTGCTCCATTGAATTTTTTTAATATTAATTATTGTATTGTTAGACCACGTTCAAAGCATATTTTTTTTATTATTCATTAATAATAGGATAAAACATAATTTTTTTGAAAATTCTAAATTTTAAACGCTGTCAGTTAGATCTGAAACACTGTATATGTATAACTTACAATCGTTGCATAACAATAAGAATGGAAATAGGGTTCCTGTATCGTATCACTTATAAATCTAGTAAAGTTAATGTCTTATTAATTACTAAAATTTATACATTTATGCAAGTAAATTAAACGAGGTACTATTTTAAAATAAAATAAATATTTGAAATAGACTTAATAAGAAAAAAGCTATTTTTATGTATATCTAATAGTCCATAATAATAACTTCATTTAATGATATAAATAAAAACCTCTGGATATAGAGGGCACAACTCTCATGACGATTTTATCTCAAAGGTTTTGGTCATGGCATAATCATTCGTGTATTGTATTTATGCCGTGTATTGGATCTTATTGTAATAAAAGCCAATGTAAATAAAAATGCAATGATAAATTTCATTTCTTATGCTTGGGTAATGTCGATACTTTACTACAATAATTTAGTTTTATCATAAATAGACAAATTAATTGTTTTTTTATTACATTTGTAAAAAAAAAGTGGAAAATATGATATTTCTATCACTCTGTAAGAACTCGCCAAAATGTACAATGAAATATTATCATGTTGCGTTACTGTGAAAAAATTAAACAACTTTCATTAAAACTCAATAAATTCTTTAGTAATAATACTTGTTTACGCTTAGATTTAAAAATGAATTGTAATTGTTATTAAAATCAATAGAATATAATACTTAATTTGTTTATGTTTTATTAGAATGAAGTGATCATTAATCAATTTTGGCTGAACTATGAGTTTTTTTACGTCTCTTCACCAAATAGTCACAAGTAGTGTGGCAAACTTAAATCTCAGTCCTAAGAGATTTTCGTTATCTAAAGAATCGGGAACGGACGGAGAAGAAGCAGCGGCTTTAGCGGCAGCAACAGCGTCTTCTAGTAGATCAGCTAGTACTGGCAGCGTCAGTGGTATTCCAAGAATCGTCACACCTCAAGGTATCAGTGGAGGATCTAGATCAAGTGGAGGTCCAAGACGCACGGGATCTTTTCGGCAAATATCTCAACCAAGAAATCCTCAAGCTTTTTGTAGACGTAGGCAGTCTTGGCCGGAAATAGATCAAAATGCAACATCAGGGTAAGTAGAAAATAAAATATTTTTTTATTTCAAAATTATTTTTAATAATTCTTAAAAGTTTAACAATCACACTAAATGTTATTGTTTTTCTGAAATGAACCATTTTTTCTTCTTTTTTCTATATTTATGCATAAACTTTAGTACTAAAATTTAGTACAAGAGCGATATATAAAATAATCGAATATGGCATGATTGTTACTATTTAATTTAGAATTCTCCAAAATGTACTTAATATAATAGTGCTCTTGATGTTCAAGTTATAAATAGTCGTTGTTGAAGTATTTTTATTTACTGTTGTTTGAACGCCTTAAATGACCACCGTTCAAATTTTACTCTCTATACAATTTTAGTCTAACCATTTTAGTATTTTGTAGCTGTCGGAGAAATGTTTGCCACCAGCTTCGATCCGGTGTTGTTTTGTTTGGTATGTTATGTGCGTCGATTTATATGGAGATTAAAACCCAACTGATAGCTCCAACACAGTTTTATTTTCCTTTTTGTTTATTTAGGTGGGAATTCACTTAATACGTCTATTTTAATTACATTTACATTACGATTTGCAACATATTACTCTAAAATTTTGTCTCCCGAATTTGATTCAACAAACAACGTTTAGTATACAAAAACCTGAAAACATCGGTATAATATTCTGAATATTGTTTTATATTATTTTTCTGATAAAGGTTATAAATAAAAAACCTATAAAGATTATAAAGCCATAGTTTTCTTCGTATGAATTTAAATAGCACAAAAAAAATTAAATTAAATTTTAAGATTTTAATTTTAAATTAAAAAATCAAGAGAGCATACTATTTGTAATTGTGTTTTAATTAACGGTAAAGAAATGTTTCATTTTTTTAAATAAGTTATAAAGTAGAATAGGATTCTTAAGTTTGTTTTTAATTAGAGTATTATGTAGATTGCACTTCTACGAAGTTTCAATTTTTAAATCAATTTTAATTTTCTAAAAGTGCTTTAGTAACAAAATTTATGTTTTAAAAATAAAACTATTTTAAGTGTGATAAACTTGGTGATTTAACTTAAAAGGTTATTATAATCCTTAAATATTCTTTCATTTGTATATATTTATATATATTCAATTATAACGATTGATTACTTAAAATCAAATCGATTAGAAGTAATAATCGAACTACTTTAGTTGAGTACTACAGGTAATTTTTCTTATCAAATGAAATATTTATAGTATTTGATAAAAAAAATAATTCTCATAAAACTATGGTTGTCACACTTTCGCTTGTTTTTTCTCATGCTCGGCCTTTCGAACATTAGATAAATGACAGGCTATCTTATGAATAATGCGGAATTGAAAGTACTCTCGGTTAGATTATACGTGTAAGTCGAAGAAGAAAAATATTTCTGCCGAACATTTTTTGATATTTTATTCATGATGCTATCTTGGAACATTTCAAAATGTTTGAAATCCCATTATAGTGTAACTTACGAACAATATGTCGAGTGTTCGTCCATATGTATTATACTGAATTCGCATTATTCGTTATTAATGTAGTTACAGTGAACAACATTAATTTTAAACTTTAAAAAAGTAGACTAAACAGTATTTTACCATCATAATTTTGTTTAAATAAAATCACCCCAGAAAATATAAATTTTAAATTTATTTTTAAAAAAATATAAAATTAAATAATTTTTAATAACATTTTAGATTTCATGAAAATAATTATTACTGTTTACTTAACGTATCTCTTACACAATTAATTTAATATATCTAAGATGTATAGGTAAAAATAATGTATTTATTCAACAATTACGCTTCGGAGTTATAAAAAAATACTAGATAAAATTTTGTATGAACACAATAAACAATACATTTTATTTTGTTAAAATGTTCCTAATCTATATATTTGTATTTAAAATAACGAGACCAATGCCGTCCCATTGCGTTCCAAATTCAGATCGGCTTAGATTAAATTATCTTATAAAAATAAAGATTTTTTTTGGAATATTGTTAATTTTCTAAAATTTTTACTTTTTTTTATTTTATCTATAAAATGTCAAAACAATAAATTTATTAGTTTTGTAAAAAAAAAAATGTATAATATTATAAACAATATTATTTCAAGATTCTATTGATGTTGTTACGTAGTATACAACTTTGATAATGGTTATTAGGTATCGAATTATTTTCTCTTGGGCATTTATTTTAAAGTTCGATTTCCTTTGGGACATAGTCATTGTTTTATCCTTCTCAACGTCGTTTGTCAATAAGTATATTGGTACTATAGTGTCTAGAAATCGAATGAAAATGATAATTTAAAATTGTACTTGTGCAATAATTATTATATACTCACTTTTATATCCAACATAATCTTCTTTTGTTTTTTTTGAGAATTCATGCATAATTCATATGGAATATTGAATAAAAACTCGTTATCCTTGATTGTTCTCCATAAGAGTAAGTAGTCATTTATTCATAAGCCACGCCAAACATTCTATCTGTAGTTGTGCAAATAAATTTGTTTCCTGTCATCCTAATATTTTCTTCATTATTTAAAACATGATAATAAGAAGAACATTAAGTATAAGTATTACACTTAGATTCGATATACACCTAATATACAATAAATTAGTTTACTATTATAATTCAGTTTATATATTTGTCTAGGATATTTAATATAAATTTTGTGTATACAGTATTATTTACTAAGTATACTATTACCAATTTTTTTGTTAAATAATGATCTTTAATAAAAATGCACAGATTAAAATTTAGTTTGTTTTCATAAACTATTGCCATAAACTATTTGCATAAAAATTAAATATAAGAAAAAAATTGTTACTTATGGTAGATTTTAAGGGTGTATCTAAATAAAATTTTGATGGATAAAAAATAGTAGACTTCGTCAGTGATATTGCCGACTTTTTTTATTTTTCCCTAGACATCAATTATTTTTAAAATGTCGTAATAATCGAAAAAAAAAAATTAATAAAAAAAAAACTCTTTGAATTATGATCACTTTGTTATAATATATATTATTTGATATCATGCCAAAAACAGTTAGTGTTTTTTTTTTTTATATTAAAATATATTATTAAATATAAAATTGAGATAAGACAAAAAATTATATATTGATACAAAATTCTATTCGTAAATTAGATTTTAGCTTCGATGCAAAGCTGAGAAGGTATTAATTTTACTATGATGTGTCTTTTTTTTTTTTTT